CCGGATTCACTCCTGGTAAGTCCACAATAGACCGTATCCTCGCGCTTCGAGTCATTGTAGAGCGCCGTCGTGAATTCGGGCGTGGGCTACTTGCAGCCTACATCGACCTCAAGAAGGCGTTCGATACGGTGCATCGGGAGTCACTTTGGGAGATCCTGAGGCTGAGAGGAATACCAACAAGGATTATTGGACTAACAGCAAGCCTGTATACTGGTACTGAAAGTGCTGTAAAGTGTGGTGGGGGCCTGTCGAGCTTCTTTCCTGTTAGTTCAGGAGTGAGGCAAGGCTGTGTCCTTGCACCAACTCTTTTCAACACTTGCATGGACTGGATACTGGGCAGAGCTACTGTTCAAAGTCATTGTGGGGCAACGCTGGGCAATATCAAGGTTACAGACCTTGACTTTGCTGATGACGTTGCCATTCTATCTGAGTCTTTGGAAACCCTAGTAGCGGCTCTCGATGCATTTAGCAATGAAGCAAAGCCCCTGGTCTAGAGGTCTCCTGGACCAAGACCAAGGTCCAGGAATTTGGGGACTTGATAGGAGAACCTGTTCAGTTGGTACGTGCTTGCGGCGAGGACATTGAAGTCACAGAGAGCTTTACGTACCTTGGTAGTGTAGTTCATAACTCTGGGCTGTCAGACCATGAAGTCAGCAGACGGATTGGCCTGGCAGCAGGGGTCATGAACTCTCTCAACAAGAGTATTTGGAGATGTCGGTACCTGTGCAGAAGGACCAAGCTTCGGGTTTTCAAGGCCCTGATAATGCCAGTTTTGCTATACGGTAGCGAAACCTGGACATTGTCCTGTGCCTTGGAGGCTCGTCTTGAAGCCTTTTGCAATAGGTCCTTGCGCCAGATCATGGGGTACTGTTGGCGGGACCATGTGTCCAACCAACGGTTGCATCGTGAGACTGGCACAAGCCCTGTTATCTGCACAATCCGTGATCGCCAACTCAGGCTATACGGCCACCTGGCTCGCTTTCCTCAGGATGATCCTGCCCATCAGGTCGTCTCTATTCGAGACAACCCTGGGTGGAGGAGGCCCGTGGGACGACCGAGGAAGTCATGGCTTGGGCAGATCGACCAAACCTGCCGTGAAGAACTAGAGATGGGCCGAGTCCCTGCCTGGCGTCTAGCCATGAGGGATCCTCGTAGGTGGAAGCGAAGGGTGGATGCGGCTATGCGCCCCCGTCGGCGTCAGCCCCCATGATGATGATGATGATGATGTCCAGTTTGCTGTTAACACAGAACAGAAGATTGCACCTGGTATTTACTCTATTCTTTGTAGTGCATGTAAAGAATGCTTAAGAGATGGGGAATACTAACCCAAACTACTGCCTTTATCTTGTTCATTGATAAAGTTCACCTTGAATATCTGACTCTCATCTTCAAGCTGAAGTTTTTAGATTATTTTTCTTTTGTTGATTTACTTCATTTTACTGTCATGGTACTGTTTGTGTTTTGTCCTTCTAATTTCTTATTCAAATACTGAAAACTATTCAACCTAGCTCCTAAGAAGTTATATTAACCCATTAATGCCGGTATATTTTGAAGCAGAAAATAAAAGATTCCGGGCAGCTGCAAAATCGACAGGTGGGGCTGCCCGGACTCTGCCCGCCCGCCCGCTGCGGCCCGCTGCTGTGTCGGACCGCAAGCCCTGGCGTCACACTGGCAGGACATCCGTCAATGTTTATTTTTTCGGGTGTCTCATATGTGGGATGCTCGTCGTTTGTGGGTTAACCCTTCAATCCAGACGATGTGACCATCACATCATAAAAAAATGAAGGGGCAGGTGACATGAACATGCTGCAATGGGAAAAATGGCTGCAGGCCAGATGATGCAAACTTGCTGTCAGGAGCAAAGGCCAGGGTAATAGAAAAGACTCGCCAGAAGTGCACAAACCTCTTGGTAGGTGATTAGATTAATTTGGCATTTAAATAGGTGCATTGGCATTATTCCCATCAATAAATGAGTGTGGAATGTAGTGGCTGTGAGCCATGACTAGAAGAGTGCCTGCTCCTGAGAGAATGCCATTTCCATGCTCAGCATCCTTTTCCTGGCAGCACAGGTTGTATTATAGAATAATAATAATGATAATAATAAGAAGAAAAAAAAGGAGAGAAAAAAAGACAAATAACAACTGCTCCATATTTTTACTTTTATTTACCAAGTTATTTACTACCTAGAGTGATGAGTATGTGCAAGGAAAAAAGTCTATCACCATCTAGATAAAGCAAATCATAAGACAAATATGGACATAGGAAAATGGCTAAAAAGCTTAAAAGGCTTACACATAAAAAGAGAAAATAATATTGTAAGGTTTAAGCAAAGAGTCTTATCAGCCCACATGAGTGTTTGCATGTACCCGGCCTACAAGCCATGCACCCGGTAGAGCAGCCACTCATGTAAGCGCAATGCCTGTATTTGTTCCATGTAATTGCCATGAAGCATCCAGATCCAAGGGATCTGAATGCCAACAGGGATGGCATACACATACATGCCATACGCACTGTGAATTTAATCTATTAACTCCTTTTACATATGGATGGCTCCACAAGTACTTAGTAACTGATGAGCCAATTATGAGTACTACCTGTCTTACCTGTTTACCCTTTTCCTTGATTTTCAGAAATATTTTCTGGTGTCTTATGAAGCTATTGGTAATGTCAATTACACTATAATAATTACAATGTCTATAAAAATAAAAGCATCAATATTGGTAACAATAATAATAAAAAATAATAATAAATAAATAAATATAAAAAAATACACACAAGGAAAGATGAAATCAGGTGAAGTCACAAGATCTACTTTGTGGCTAAGCACTTGCAGAGCCATCTATGGGCAGAGACAGTTCACAAAACAATAAAACTTTAAACATAACATTTTCCTAGTGATGGTGGATTAAAAGGCAATATTTTAGCACCAGTATAACTGACACTATGACAATATTATGATTTCTCTAACTTACACTCTCGACTACCATCTTCAGGTGACACAGTAACTGTTCTCTATCAATATAAATAGTCATAGCACTTATATATAGCAGAACTAAATTTATCATGTAGAAAACAGTCACAAGCACTATCTAGCCTCCAATTCTTCCATGAGCACAACCTTCAGAAATAATCAGGTGATGAAGTGCAGCCTAAGAGCAGTAGGAATGCCTATGTTCGAGGCTTCAAACATTTTTCTTTAAGAAATAAACAGATGACTGTCACTGAAGTAAAGACCTCAAAAGTGACAATATTTGTAAAAAAAAATATATATATATATATTTCAGACTAATCATGATCACTTCAACTGTAAACCACATAAAGCAATCTCAACAATTCTACAGAGGAACCATCAATCTTTCAAAAACTGTATAAGAAAATGAACATACTGGTATCAAATCATTGGATCATAATCACATGACAGAAGATGTCAATTTAGATTTCTAAAAGGCCCCATTTTGCATCTAAGTGTTCCAGTGAAAACTATACAGCCAATGTATTAAGTAAATGCCACTGGCAAAAGGTAATATATACTGTAGTTCTGTTCAATGAAATGTTTCTACACACAGAAAGCTCCACATGTACTCCACCACTAATGAATCAATTAGTGGACATCATGATCTCACCTGAAATATCCTTTCCCAGAGTTTTTTGGATTTTTTTTTTTTTTTGGTAATGATATCAATATTTATGCTTTTATTATCATAATATAGGTTATAATTACTATTATGTTGAAAACATTACAAATAGTAATAAAAGATTCAAGGAAAAAGATAAACAGATGAGATAAACAGCAACAATAACTGAATCCTTGGTTGACTAGGCACTTGTGGAGCCATCAATGTGTAAAGACAAATCAAACTCACAGGAGACAAGGCATGTCAACACATGCCACCCCTAGTGTCATGGAGTTGATATTCTCTTTGACGTATATACATTAGTTATTCTATCTATCTAAAAATAGTGAGAAGAGTTATCGTCAAGTTTATCTACATACTAAACCAAGGCTCTATTAATTTACAGTCAGATAAAAAGCTTATCATATAGGCCTTAAAATCCTTGATTTTGGAAACTACAATATTCTGGACTTTTTGGACTGTGTCTCATTATCAATGCAAACCTCGAGAGCTTGGTAGGATAAATAAAACCTACTCTTGAAATATCTGGATAAATTCTTTCAACAAAATATCTTTCCTTGTAAAAGTGAAGAAATTTGGAAATTACAAATAATCTTTATTGGCAAAAAATGCCAACAACAACAGAAAACAGATGCCAAATGTTACTCACTGAAATGTTTATATCTGAGTGGTAACATTACTAATTTTTGCATCAAAATTTGTTGAAAATGTCTTTTGCCAACTATAGAAAATCGAAACACAGATCTATATGAAATTAACCCATTCAATCCAAGATAACCCATCATGTTATGGTTAACTGTCTCTCATACTAGGATGATGGTTCATCATATCGTGCATGGTAGTGACTATTATAAGTCGTGCGTGCTTGAGATTTGTTCACCTGGGACCTCAAAAGAAGTCTTAAAGTCTCTTTTTAGTCTAATTACTTAATAATCATTTATGCTGCAGCCAAGAGTGTGGTAAATCTAATTTTTCTGTGCTTTTTCTCTCGAGCAGCTGATCCCCTTTGCAATCCAGTGTATGGTGTCATATGGTGCTAGAGGCTCCCATCGTGAGTAGGTTAAGGAGCAGTGTTTCTGTTAACTTTACGGACATGGCAGGTACAACGGCTACTGCATCTACTGCTTTCTTTGCTGTCTCTATTTCAGTGAACACCTGGGAATGGTCTCCATACAACAGCCAAGTCCAGGAAATGAAAATACTGGTTCTTTTATTCAACAGTTACGGTCTTAGGGATACATGAAATACAAACATGATGCATTTCTTTTTTTCAAAATCTACATCTTGGAATCTACCATCTGTGCCAAAGGGGGTAAAAGGAATCAGAAAGAATAAGGCATAAGAACAAATTAGTGAATGACTTACCTGGCTGGACAGGTGCTTGAAGTTTTTGGAAGTTGTAACCTGTTCTCCAGTCCCAGAAGTATAAGGTACCATTGTCTGCTCCCGAGACTAAAACACCTTCACGATTCATGGCAAGGCAGTTTACAATTGCATTGTGACCAGACAAATTCTGTAGAATAAAATATGTATGTCTAATCATCTCATTAAATGTAATGAAATATCTTTCTTAAGCTGATCTGATAAAAAAAAAAAAAAAAAAAAAAAAAAAAAAAAAAAAAAAAAAATAATAAATAAATAAATAAATAAAAAATAGAAATAAAAATAATAATAATAATAATTCAATGTAATTGTTGTCCACTGTGAATAAAAAATCCTTTACTTTTTTCTTCAGTTTCCAAGGAGATAACATCTTAAATGAAAGAGGAAGTAGGGAATTATCAAAAAGAGAAAGACACTGAAGTTGAAGTCAAAATGGGAGGAGAAAGTAGGGGAATTATTATCAAAAAGATTTTAAAATTACCTAATAAAGTGATGCATCCTTTAATTTTTGTCAGAATGAATGGTGATTGCTCCATGGTTGCTACAGGGAGAGAGATAGTGAGAAAAAAGAGAGAGTGAGTGAGAAAAAGAGAGAGAGAGTGAGAAAGAGAAAGAGAAAAAGAGAGAGTGAGAGAAAGAGAGTGAAAAAGAGTGAGAAAAAAAGAGTAAGAAAGAGAGTGAGAAAGAGAAAGAGACAGAAAAAGAGAAAGAGAGAGAGAGTGATGTAACTTTACAGCTGCCATCTTACTTCAACGTAGTAGTAATGACATCATATAAGGAATTGGTTACTGACAACAATTCCTTATATGATGTCCTTAGCGACATCATTGGTTATGGTATGTGTCATCTGACCCAGGTTGCTTTGACATCATTAGCTACTGTTGGTTCCATGTTCCTGCCAGTGTCGAAGCCTACAAAATTTTCCATATATATATAGGGGGGCTTGCTGCTCATTCATCACTCGCTTTTGCCATGCCTTGCTTAGTAAGCATTTGAAATTTATCAGGTTGACACCACTGTCGACACCATGCTGTACAGTGAAGAGCCAGTTTCCAGCGTGGCTGCCAAGCTGGCTCTGAGGAACGGCTCTGGCTCCAAGGGGTTTTGTCTAGCAGTGTAAGGACAACATCCCCAGGCATGAGGAGTTCCGAAGTGATCCTGGGGTGAAGGTCCCTCTGGATGCATCGGACTCACCCTTGGAGATCTTTGGTGGGTGTTTTCACTGACGATCTCCTCGATCTCATTGTATCAGAGACCAGCTGGTAAGTTTTGTTACTATCACTATTGTGTTCTTTCTATTTGTATTCATGCTGAGGAAATCTAGCAATGAGGAATCAGAATGTATTACTTACTTGTTTTTCTTTTCCACTCCCACAGGCATGTGGTCACCCACCCTACTCCCGCCTCACCTCATATGAGGAAGTGGATTTCTATGTCCCGGTGGGAGGTCATTGCATACCTTGGTATCCGCGTGATAATGGGGATGGTGGATCTTCCCAGTTATCATGAATACTGGTTGACCAATCATATCCTACATCATAAACTCATTGCTGAAGTCATGAGCAGAGAATGGTTCGACCAGTTGACAACTCACCTCCATTTTGTCTAATTGGAGGAAGGAGCTCCACTCCCGAAGGACAAGATGTGGAAGCTTTGACCAGTCATAGACTCCCTAAATGACTTGTTCTGGTTGATGCTTGTCACAGGGCAAGACATCGTAATGAAAGTTCTGTGGGTGATTAGCTTTTAGGACCTACAACCTAACCAAGAGGGTGAGATTCGGGTTGCGACTCTATAAGTTCTGTGCCAGTACCGGACTGAGCAGGACTGTGGCAACATGCCCTCGTCCACCAAAGCGGTGCTTCACTTGATGGAGATTAGCAGCTGGGATACCAGTTGTTTGTGGACAACTGGTACACGTCTTCAAATTTCTTTCATTTGTTGCAGGCATGCAGGATGAGTGTGGTAGGGACCACCCGAATGAACAGGATGTTCATGCCCAAGGACCTCAGTGTGAGGAGGAAGGGTATGTTGATTACTGTAGCAGCAAGATGAAGTTCTTGGCCTTGATGTGGAAGGACAACAACACTGTAACCATGCTGTCTACCATCCATACTGCTGCAATGGAAGGGGATAAGCCATCTGCAGTAAAGGATTACAACGTCAGCATGAAGGGTATTGATATTGGTGATCAGATGGCGAGCTACTACCCGACGACTAGCTGCTCCAATGTTCAGCACAGGAAGGTCTTCTTCTTCCTCTTTGACATAGCCATCATCAACACCTGGGCTGTCTATCATGCCCTAGGTGGAGAGGACTCGCAGAAGACCTTCAGAGTCAGCTTTACCTCTGAATTCTTGGGGAATTTCAGAGAAGGGGCAGACTCCACCAGAGCCCATACTGCAACGCAACCACCTGTTGCAGCGAGGTGGGTTCTGCAACAGTGTCAGCATGGTGTCACCGCCATCCCTGACAGCAAAAGGAGGAGGTGCTGTTGGTGCTCCAGGCAGGGTAGATGCAGAAGCAGCAGGACCTTCCACCCAGAATGTGACATCGGCCTTTGCACCTATGGGTGCTTTGAGGCCTGACATTCTAACAGGTGAAACTGCAGTACTGACCAGTACAAAATAAATTTACTTTTTTTTAAAAAAATAAATAAATAAATAAAAATAAATAATAATAATAATAAAAAAATAATAATAAATAAATAAATTTTAAAAATCTGATTTACCTTAACCAATCTTGGCAAATAAGAGTGATATAAATATTTTTTTGCTGATAGAAACATATATAGCATTATTAGAGTCTGGACTATATACTAAAAATTCAAAACATTGAAACAAGTGTTGAGACTGCATTTTAGCTTTTTGAGCACACAAACCATAATGTTTGTTTCTCAGGTAAACTCCCACAGCTATAAAAGGAGTATAAGGTTGGAGCTTGTGCTCTGATTTTTTAGCCTGCAGCTGGCGGCACTTGGGAAGGTCCCCATCAGGGCCTGCGAAATGAGGCTTACCGCACTCTGAAAAAACTGTTGCTAGTGGGTTAATGCAAGACAAAAGAAAAGGATTTGTCTTCTAATTCTGATAAAGCTACATAGCAGGCCAACAACAAATACAGCCTACTTGTGTTGGATTTGCTCTAGTACAAAATTTTACTTTTGAAAGCAGCCATTATTTCAGCATATTGTTCATTATCTTTAGGTGAATAACATATTCTTAATACAATTACCAGTACACAAAATCTGTAACAAAAACTAGGTAGGTTATTTAAGTAATACCAAGGAATAAAATAAACAAATGTACAAAAATGCAAAGTCATTCTGGTTCCTCACCTGCACAAACTCTCCATTGGGGCACTTCCACTGCTTGATGTTGTCTGGGGCACCTGAGGCAAACATATACAGCTCAGGATGGGCAGCCAGGGCTCGCACACTCTTCTTGTGGTGGGTCAATTTACAAGTGGTCTTGCCAGCCGCCAGATCCCACAGCCGGATTGTGAAGTCATGAGAGCCTGTAATCACCTGTGGAGAATAGAGAATAAAATGTAATTGTGTTGTTGTTGGATATGTAATCTCATGGGAGAAGAGCTCATTCATAGATAAAAATTCTCCTAGAGGAAAATAGGATTCTAATTTACTGTTCTAGCTTACAGTATGAGGCTATCCAGGCTGATCCAGCATCTATTGTGCGGCCAAGATCAGGCATTCGGAAAGACAAGGTTACTGCAATAATTCCACGTAGGCATCATTGTATCCAAATGGTTAAATATGTGTGAAATTTTGTTTAGATTAAGTTGCTCAAGGCAGTTTCAGATACAGTAGGTGGAGAGAAAGGGAGAGACGAAAGCAGTGCCATTATAGGTATTGGATAATGAAGTTTAAGAACATAAACTGCTTTCATGTGCATTTTTAAATCCCTTGTGAGGAAGGGGAGGGGAAGTGGTTAAGGGGACCATCCTGGAAAAGGCCTACCATTCTCTACTTATTTCATCATAAAAAATATCATCTTTATGCAATTGTTTTAACAAAATATAGAGTATATAATTGCGCTTTGTCTCATATACAATTTTTACTTCACCCCCCCCATAGGGTAATTGGTGTCCCCCCCCCCCAAAAAAAATCATGTTTTTTTTTGGTGTTCTGTGTTAAAAACACATAACTTTTGAACTTTTCTGCAGTTCAAATACAATTTGTTGCTTTACTTAGAGCATTTCTACCCTGAGAGCATATAAATTTTTTTTTTTTTTTTTTTTTTGAGCGGGAGACTGGTTGACAAAGATTTAATATACTTATGGTTCATTTTTAAAAAAATAATCTTTACACAATTATATTTTTTGATTATTATTCCAAAATTTAAAAACAGCTATTACAACTTTCAGGGTTTTTCGTGATGCTTTAGTTGAAAGCAA